ATTTCCTTATGTACTGATGTTCTTCCTTTTTTAGAACTGGTTAGATTCTTCAAAGGAAATCAAGAGGCAAATTCGAAGTAAGTACTCCTATACTGATGTTAAATTCTTGACCTCAGTTTTCTAATTCAGAAATAAACTTTTTATAGTGAAAAGCTTGAATATGGCAGGAAACTGGTCATGATGAAGACTTTTAAAACATGATTTCTACTAACTCTACAGGCCTATATACACATAGTTCAATAGCAATATGAATGCACAGTTGTCTACAATGGCTAGTGGGGTCTATGGGATAACACATTTTTATTAGCAGTGTGGATAGGATTGTGTAGTTCTGTAACTATTTTAGAGCAGAATTAAAACATTCACTAACCTAATGAATCAACAGTGTGTTGTGGTGACATTGGCAATAAGTGTTTTTTAATGTGCAATCTCATACCATGGTGAAGAATCATGCACTATCACAGTTAAACCTTTTCCTGGTTGGTTGGGATTGTGTAAATACCAACAGACAGAACTGCACTTGAGACCTCTGGAGTTTGGTGCATGAGCCTCTACCAGTTGAGCTAAAAACCCAGGTGGCTGTAGAGCACTCTCGTTTCTTCTGTCTGTAATTGGTAAAAGTGCTATTTCATGGGATAGTACACTCCATCTAGAAGGTGTGTGCATACATTTGGACAGTTTTACAGAAATCTAATGTTATTGGCCTATCTCAAAACTTAGATTGTTTAATTTGCTTCCTGTAATTGACTTTGTAAATTTTATACAATTACCAGTAAGGTAACTGTGACACTGAAATATTCAGAGTGTTTCCTATAGTAATTATAGGAAAGTACAAGGGAATCCTATTAATTTTAGTAATCATATCCTCTATTTAAAAATAGTTTTTCCATGCTAATTCTATTTTTAGAGCTCTCATCTCCTGCTCCCCTAGAGTTGAAACTGTGTGGTAATTGTCCTGGTAACTTCAGGAAAACATTATTTTAGGGAGTCATGTATGTGTGTTTATCTGTTTGCATGATCTCATTAACATGATTACAGTATCTAAATTCCCATACTTAATATAAAGAGATTCCAGAAATATTTATTCATTGTTATAGTAGGATCCTGAGGCTATGTCTACGCTACAGAGTTTTTTTGGAAAAAGTTCACTTACGTCCACATTAGAATCACATTCTTTCAAAAAAAAAAAAAAATTGAAAGATCACAGTAAACATTGGTAAACCTCTTTCTATGAGGAAGAAGCCTTTTTCTGAAAAAGCGCTTTTGGAAAAATGCATGTGAGGACTGGGAAGAGGGAGTTCTTTCGAAAGAAGAGGAAAGAGGAAAAAGCACAGGTGCCCTGTGTTTTTAGCCTTTCTTTTCTAGTAGAGGATTTTTCTTCTTCATGGTTAGATCCTGTCATGATCATGAGGTTCAGCCAGCAGCCTGGAGACTAAGGGGTTAACTATGTCCCCTACCTACCCAGGTGGAGTGGCCAATAGGAATGTAGGTAGGAATTTCAAACTGTGACAAAGGAATTTTTGGTTTTTCCCTCTTTTGTTCTGAGCAGTCCTCTCCAGCTATTGAGGGGGACATATACTATGTCTCCCTCCAAGACAAGACTCTTTCTTCACTTTCTGTAAGTAGGGTAAAATTTAGATAAATCCGTTAGGTTTCATTGTTTTATGGTTTGGGTATGGGATTTGCTGTCTGTGCACTTTTTAGAAGATGTTTGGCTTTTCTTTGTAACTAAGTTCTAGGCCCATGGCGTTTCTCTATGAGTATATTATTTGTTACTTTTCCATCTAGTTATTATGCTTGCAACAGGAATATTGTGGTGATAATAAAAGTTTTCTATTTTTTTCTTTTATTAACCTGGTATTGGTTAATGGTGGTGTCCTGCTTTTTACTTTAGAGGTAAGATTTTCCCAAATGGTCTCTCCCCTGGTTTCTTTATTAATTTGGGTGGTGGCAGCAGAGATTCTATCCCCAAAATCTAGGGTTTTAAAGATTTTGGGGGGAAGTTTTATACCAAAGCCTGGTAGATAAGGTTTTGGGGTACACTTGCTGGCCCCCACTTCTGCATTTATCATGCCAGAGTGGGGAAGGAGCCATGATAGATACACAGATGGAAAATGTATACATCAGCCTGCTTTGCAGCTTGGTGCCAGATGGACCTGTTCACCACTGGCAGCAGGAGAAGGTCCAACTTTCTGAAATTCCTTGTATTTTTTTCCTGCTCCCACTAGACCTCTCTGCTGAAGAGATTTTCTGAGGGAAATTCTAAACTTTTCACACATTTAGACTAGCAATCAATTTTTGAATGGGATTCAAATCAGCTCAGAGAGATTTATGAGGCTTTGGAATCCGATGATCACACGAATAATTTCCTAGTGATAGGAAACTTTGAGACGCTGTTGGTATTCATAGTCACAGTACTCAAAAAAGTCATTTTATAATCCAGGCTTCTGGTAGATGCTAGAGGAAGGTAGTCCTGCAACAAGATCTGTGAAGTAAAACAAGAGAAAATACCTCTTTGTAGATATTTAGAACAAACACAGTGTCAGTAACCCTCTTTTGCTTCAGTTATTTGCAGTTCTCCCAGCCAGTCCTGTTTGGAGCTGGAAACCTAACTGCTGCCAGGATCTTGCAGTTTGGCAGTAAGCGGGCTATCTATAGTGTTGATTAAATGAGGTCAGTAGAAATTTACTAGAGAGAATACCCTGTGGAATTGCACAAGAATTCCAGGAACAGCTTTGTCCCATTCCCAATCTCAACAATCACTTGAAAGGCCATTGCATGAATTAAAGGTTTTTATTTCAGGTTGGAGTATTACAGTCTGTTCCCTATCCTCCAGAAAATCTGGGGGACACAGCACAGGGCAGTGTCTGAAATACCTAATATAAGTTCCTAAAAGAAACTTGCCTTCAAAACATTCCCATAGAAAGCTGAAGCAACACAGGCTGTTACTGTTACAAAATTCAGTGTAAACACACATGCGTGGTGCCAGGGAAGTTAGACATACACTTGGACTAAAGATGAATAGTATCAGGTACAAGGTCTCATCTCAGAAGAATGTTAACACAAGAGGAAAATGGCCATAATGAAAAACATTTATCATGGAAACAAACATCCAACTGTTATTGGAACCCACTGGAAATTCTGATCTCATACAAATTATGTTCCAACAATCCAGAGTTCATATGATACATATCAAGTAATCTTGAGTATCCCCTCCACCTCTCACACTGTCTCTTCCACTGACAGATCTTGCTATAGTTGTATATTATCTAATCCCCCAATGGTTAAATGCAGAGTCAGGTTTTTATTTTCAAAGGACCTTCACTGTTCAGGGAATGGTTACCCAAAAGAGAGAGTACAGTGTCCACCAACTGGAACTGATTGATTTATTAAGGTCTCAGAGTGCTGTGGAAAACAGATGTGTTCTGGTCATGTCAGTCAGTATGTCTGATTGTGTTCTTCCTGTTCTTATGTAAGCCTGATTAGCCTCACTCCAGAAAGAGATTCTCCTGTCCTGGGTGGAACAAAATACCTGTTTGTGTGCGATGCCCACCAATGGTGAAATAAACCATCATGACTTGAATGTCAGAAATTGGATTAGCGGTGTTGTTCCTACACCCAGACATATCTGACTCATTGTAAGTAGGATTGGTAGGCTAGTGATCAACCTTTATGTATCGAAAAATGGTAAATGAAATGTCCTGTATCCTTATTGATTGCTATATCAGAATGTGAGGAGGCAGTGACATCTTGTAAAACTGAGCAAGGTCTCTTCTATGTGTCTTTTTCACTTGGTCATTTTACCCAAGACAACGCAAAAATAGGAATGAGAGAGTAGTGATGAAACTGTTTATACTTTTTGTGTTGAACAGGTTATGGTTCTAGGGCCTAATTAATAAAGCATTGGCTTTTCAGAGGAGGTCTGCTATTACAAGCTGGTTCCTCCACCTGGGTATAGATGGTTTCAAATAGGGATGTTAAATATCGGTTAATTGAATAATCGATCAACCTCCTGAATTCTTATTAGTTGTTCAACTATTCTATAGTTCTTGGAACAGGACCAGCAGCCAGTGTGCTCCGGCCCCACTCATGTCTTAATCCGCTGTGTCTTCATATCTTCTTTTGATGTATGTCATTCTTGCATGTAAAGTTAGATATATGGAGTATGGAATGTTTCATGGTTTTAAATGTGCAAATGAAAGCCATCTCAATGTCTTGATGACCAACTGTAAACACAGTCTTTTGTCCTTTGTCTTAGCAATGGTTGGTCTTAGGAAGTCACATGTCCACCCCAACTGGCAGGGGTGCACCAAGTAATTGTCCATGGAAAGGTGGTATCTATAAAACAATAGACAGCTAGGAGTTACTTTGTCTTTGGCTGACATGACACACCCAAGTCAATGAACCAGAGAACCCAGGAAGAGGGAACTTCCCTGGGTTGAAGGTTTACCTAGACTAGGAACATTTTAGGGTGAGTTTGTAATAAGTTTTTTCTAAGGTTTTAGTGTTAGCTAAGCATTTTCTGTTATTTTAAATTTGTAATCTACTTTGTTCTGCCTGTTTTCACTTACAATCTCTTAAATCCTACTGTTGGTACTTAATAAAATCACTTTTATTTACTATCAAGCCTGGTGTAAATATTGTTACCTTGGGAAGCAATCCGTGTGTACATCTTCCTTTCATTGTGAAAACGGGGTTACCTAAATAATTCTTTTGGAGTTCTGATCCCATTTGGAAGCTGGGCCGAAAACTTCATTTTCCTTGGATGTGGAGTGTTTCAGTGTCTGTATTGGTCGTCGGTGGATGTGATGATCCTAGCTCTGTGCCTTGGCAGAAAGCAGACCAGGAGGGCTAGCCCAGCAGGACAGGGTAGTGACAAGCCCCAGAGAGCAAGAAGGCAAGTGTCAGTGGCTTTGTCAGCACCCTGGAAAGCACCCCCGAGGGGGTCTTCTGTGACCACACCCCTTCACACATTCCTTAGGTAAATTCAAGAAAAATTCCTTCTTCAGTAAAACATTGTCTCGGGGCACAGTAGTCGTCTTTCTGTTGAACTTTGCTAGGTGCCCACTAGTTCACC